GTCACAGTCTGCGGTGATCTGGGATCCCAGGAACGTGAAGTCTGTCACTACTTCCACGACTTCCCCTTCTATTTGCCATGATCTTAGTTTTTTTGATGTTGAGTTTCAAGCCCACTTTTGCGCTCTCCTCTCCAACAAGAGGCTCTTAAGGTCCTCTTCACTTTCTGCCATTAGAGTGGTATCGTCTGCATATCTGAGGTTGTTGATCTTTTCCCCAGCAATCTTAATTCCCGCTTGTGATTCATCCAGGCCAGCATTTTGCATGATGTACTCTGCATATATATTAAATAAGCAAGGTGATAATATACAACCTTGTCGTACTCCTTTTCCTATGCAGGGACACAATGCACAGCCTCTGTCATCCGACAATAAAGGTAATAACCCGATGTTCGTGGGCCAGATAAGAGCCCCAGATGGTCTGGTTCCAGCCCACAGGTGATATGTTTGACACCCCGACCACACTGGTATTGTGCTAGGTTAATTGAGGGAGGAGCCTCAGCACCAGCAGGATAGAAGGCCATAGAGTCCACCCTCTGAAGCCGCCGTTTTCTTCAAGGGAAACGATCTCTGTAGTCTGGGGATCAGTTGTAATTCTGGGAGATCCCCAGACCAGTGTTTCCTCTAAGCTGAGTTAGTGTGAGCTAGTTCACAGGTTTTTTAGCCTACAGCTCACAGTTTTTGTCTTCGCTCAGGAAGGAGGGCTCCAGAGCAAACTAATTTATGCAGCAACCAAATTGCTTGCTCACAACTTTAATGCCAGGAGCTCACAAAGTAGAATTTTTGCTCACAAGACGCCATAGCTTAGAGGAAGCATTGCTTCAGACCCCGCCTGGAGGTAGGCAATCCTATGGACTCTTACAGTATTTCTCTTTTGGTATCTGAAAAATGACTCAGGAACAAGAATTTGAGGTTGGGATGGCTGCTCTTAGTCGGAAGAGGATTCATTTTCCAGTTAAAAGCATCCGCCCCAGTTTCAAGTTCTTGCCTCCGACTCATTTTTCAGCTAAGCTTCCCAAATCGCCAGCTTGGTGTAGTGGTTAGGAGCACAGACTCTAATCTGAGAGAACTGGGTTTGATTCTCCACTTCTCCACGTGCAGCTGCTGGTGTGACATTGGGTCAGCCGTAAGTTCTATCAGAGCTGTTCTCTCAAGGGCAGTTTCTGTCAAGAGCTCTCTCAGCCCCACCAACCTCACAGGGTGTCTGTTGTGGGGAGGGGAAGGGAAAGGAGATTGTAAGCCACCCTGGGTACTGAAGGGTGGGCTATAAATCCAATCTCCTCCTCCTTCTCCTCCTCCTCCTCCTCTTCTGCCCTCCTTTGGGGAGGTGAGAATTCGGCAAGAAAGGCATTTAACAACATGCTTTGTTACAGCTTCCTTTTCCATATTACATGACCGTGAACCAAACAAAAGGTTTCTCAAAGGCCCACGGGCCACAGGTTTTATAGGTTTACCGATGTTTGGATTAGCTGGGAGGTTTGTTTGACTACCCAATGGTCTCGGAGGCATTTAATAGGATGTGGGAGAAGGAAAGCAAGCAAATGCAGCAGGATGCTGCAGGGTGGGTTGCCTACAAGGAAACGAAGCTCTTGTGTGCTCTCCCAGCTGAAAAGGAAAAGCTGCTCTTATCTGATCTCCATGCATTCCAAGAGCTGGTGTGGAGGGTAACTCCTATGCACACATGTTTGGAAGTAGTTCTGATTATTCAAGACGCTTTACTGACCAGGGTTTGGGGATGGTCTATAGTACCGTGGAATACGGTGCTTCAGTGTGGCCCAACGGCCCCCATGCCCACAAACTTGATGTCCAACTCAATACAACAAAGAACCATCAGCGGATGTATTAAACCCACTCCGACCTACTGGCTACCCTCTTTGTGCCACCTCGCTCCCCCCGCATCGTTGAAGACAAGGTGCTCTTCTTTGTGAATATGGAAAGATCACTGAAAACAGAGAGTTGCCTATCCACAAAGAGATGGCGGACACAGGCCTATCTGGACTAAGATCCCAACACCCGGGAATAAGATCTGTACAAATCCCGCAATCACAAAATTTCAATCTAGAAGAAGAAGAACAGATTGGATTTATACCCCGCCCTTCACTACCCAAAAGTGTCTCAGAGCGGCTTACAAACTCCTTTCCTTCCCCTCCCCACAACAGACACCCTGGGAGATAGGTGGGGCTGAGAGAGCTCTTGACAGAAACGGCTCTTTTTTCAAGAACAGCTCTTATCAGAACTATGGCTTGCCCAAGGTCATCCAGCCAGGTGCAAGTGGAGGAGTGGGGAATCAAACCCGGTTCTCCCAGATTAGAGTCCGCGCATTTAACCACGACACCAAACTGAATGGTTGCAAACAATGTTCCCTCTAAGATGTGGAGTCCTGCGAGCAAAAATTCTACTTTGTGAGTGACCGGCCTTAAAGTTGTGAGTGAGCCATTTGGCTGCGCCATAAATTCGTTTGCTCTGGAGCCCTCCTTCCTGAGGTAAGACGAAAATGTGTAAGCCGGAGGCTAAGAAACTGTGAGCTAGCTCACACTAACTCAGCTTAGAGGGAACACTGGTTGCAAACATGGGTGAAGTCAGTTCCACCCGATATCCATAACCTGAAAAACAAAAACAAGGGGCTTGCAGGATTTGACCTGCCATGCAAAGTATGGAAGCCGGCTAATAGAATGCAAACAGGGCTTTGGCAGTTGTGTAGAGCTGTTGTTTAAATGGGGCAAAATACCAGGACCCGAATGTGATTGTGGTGCAGCCCACCAAACTATTTTCTATCAGTCACAGGAATGTGAGCATCGTGCTTTCCAGGGAGATGTGATGGAGCTCATTGTACTCTCCCGAGGTGCAACTGAGTGGATTGAAAATTTAGATATTAGTATGTAGGAGGATTGCCCAATCAGTCTGCATAACTGTTGTATCTACTTGGTTACACACACACACACACAAAAGAACTAGCTTGATACCCGTGCTTCGCTATGGTATTTAAGTTCCGTAAATCCAGTTATAATACTGACGATGTGAAGTTTGAAATGTGACATTTGTTGTAGGAATTCTAGTGGAGAAGATTGTAGTGTAAGAAATTGTGAGGCATACGTATGTGGTCTACAGAGAGGTCCTTCGGTAGAGAGAGAAAAAAGGACATATGTCTCACTTCATTTTTTACCCTACAATCTTCACTAGAATTCCTACAACAAATGTCACATTTCAAACGTCACGTCATCCGCATTATATAGCGAAGCACGGGTATCAGGCTAGTATTTTATATTTTATATTCTTATATGCTTCCTGTTTGTAACTCTGCCATGCAATAAACAAACAATAAATTAAATACTGTCCGGGGAAATGAGCCTGAGATTGCAGCCTCCAGATTTGCACAGTTTATAGGCCTCAGGAGGTCAAAAGGGCTGTCAAGTCACATCTGATTTATGGTGCCCCTGTCAGGTTTTCAAGGCCAGAGAGAAACAGAGGTGATTTGCCATTGCCTGCTTCTGCATAGCAGCCCTGGACCTCCTTGGTGGTCTCCATTCCAGGTACTGACCAGCACTGACTTTGCTTAGCTTCCAAGATCTGATGAGACCAGCCGGGCCAGAACAAGAGAGGTGGCTTGCCATTGCCCAGGGCTATTTTTGGGCAGGAACCCACAGGAACAGAGTTCCGGCTGGCTCCCAAGTTGGCCACGCCCAGCAGGAACTCATTAGCATAACAGGCCACACCCAACAGCAGAAACTCATTAGGATTGGCTACATTAGGGGTGTGTGGCCTAACATGCAAAGGAGTTCCTGCTACAAAAAAGGCCCTGGGTTTTGACAACAAACAAGGTAAACAGAATAAGAAGCAAAAGGTGGGTGTGGCTGGATGAGCACACTTCTGGAAACATGGAGGTGCGGCCTAATGTGCTAATGAGCAGTGTTGTCAGGGGTGTGGCCTAATATGCTAATGGGTTTTTGCTGTTGGGTGTGGCCTATTATGCTAATGAGTTCCTGCTGGGCTTTTTCTACAAAAAGAGCCCCGCCATTGATAATCTCTGCGTAGCAACCCTGGGCTTGTTTGGTGGTCTCCCACCCAAGTGCTGACCAGGGCTAGCTTCGGAGACAGGGCTAGCCAACGACTGCCCACTGAGAAGTAAATCCAGTTGAGCAAATGTGCTTAATTTTCTAAATCAGATAGGTGCCTGGGCTCAAACTTCCCTGGAAACTCTGCCCTCCTCTGCCTTAACACCTGAAGAACCGAGCTGTCACCCGAGAAGGAATCTGGTGGAATAAAAGTGTTTTAGTGGGGGAGGGGGGGAGGTCCGAAAGGCTCCAGTTCATTTTTGCTGCTACCCTGGCCCATAGCTAACAGGGCCTGGCCCCCCAGTGTTTCTTCTGGGCCCCCTCGCTCCCGGGCCGCCCCAAAGTGCTCCAGCTTACCACCTGCACTGTACTTCCATTTAATTAGCTGGTGGGACCCCCGAGGCCCCTTCCCAAAAAATTCCCTAGCTACGGGGCCCCTCGGAAAGTATCGGGAACCCCTACCGCACCCCCCCCCCGCAGTTCCCTGCTATGACCCGTACAATGCAGATTGGACACGGGGGAGGGCGCGGAAGGTGAGAGTCGCAGGCTGAACCAAGGCCACGAGTTCAGGGCGCGAAGGGAACATTTGAACCCAGGACTCTGAGCACGGACAACTACGAGGGACCAGGCCGGAAGGAACGGCGACACGGGAGCACGGCCATTAAAGTCACAGCTGGTTTATGATGCTCCGGTTGAGTTTTCAAGGCAAGAGACTTGCCCCTGCCTACCAACCAAACTATCCTCTTGGCACAGAAGAGCGGCCAGATGGGGCCGTGCCAAGCCAGGGAGAGGGCGGCGGGCGCGTTTGGCTAACCCGGCGCTGCCTTCGCCCTCCAGCGGCAACCCCGGCACCGCCTCGGTTCCGCCTCCCGGGGGAGGGTGTCCAAAGCAGCCGTAGGAGGAGGAGGAAGCAGCCCGCTGCCGCCTCTGCCGCCGCCGCGGAGGAGAAGAGGAGGCGAAGCGATTCCCATGGCGGAGCAACGCGCCTGGCCGGCGCCCGGCAGGTAGGAGCGGCGTGCGCCACGGTCTCTGGGGGCGCACGGCTGGTGCGTAAAAAGGGTTGGAGGTTCGCCCTGTCGGAGGGAGGGCGCGAGGAGGGATCCCCGTCTGGGCGCCTGGAAGAGCAGCTGGCAAAGGAAGGGACGGGGGCTGGTCGAGCCCCGAGAAACTGGAAGGCGAGGAGACCCTCCGTGCGTAATCGTGGGGGCGCTCCCCAGCGGCGGGCGCACGTCCCGGCTCGCGACTGACGAGGGGGCGCACCAGCGGGTCGGGGACTTTCAGCCTTGCAAACCCGCCGAGGCGAAAGAGCCAGTCCCGAAGTCGGGGATCCCTGGAAAGCGCCCCCACCCCTCGGGCGGAGAGCAGGTTTGCCGGGGGAGGGCGTGCCGGACCCCGCGATCTTTAGGCGCTTCTTTGGGAGTTGGATCTCTAGTAAGCAATGTTCCCTCTAAGCTGTGGAGTCTGGTGAGCAAAAATTCTACTTTGTGAGCTACTGGCGTTAAAGTTGTGAGCGAGCGATTTTGCTGCTGCAATAAATCAGTTTGCTCTGGAGCCATCCTTCCTGAGCTGAGACCAAAATGTGTGAGCCGGAGGCTAAAAAACCTGTGAGCTAGCTCACACTAACTCAGCTTAGAGGGAACACTGCTAGTAAGGTGTGTATGGCGGAGAGGCCTGTCGAGTAGGAGGCTTGCTTCCGAGTAAACGCATGTCAGAGCGGCTGCAGGACTGCCAGCTTTCGAATTGGTCCCTGCTCCTCTGTCTTTTGCCCGAAGCCCTCCTTTAAAAAAAAGAAATTGCTGTCGTCACTCACAGCTGATTTATGGCGATTCCCATGGGGTTTCCGAGGCAGGCAATCTCCCATCCGAGTACTGACCAGGGTCGATCCTATTTAGCTTCCAAGATCTGATGAGGTCAGGATAGCCCGGGCCAGCCAAGGCAAGGCAAGCAAACCAGGGTGGTTTACCGTTTCCTAGCTCTGCAGCACAACCCTGGTGTTTCTTGGAAGTTCCCCTTCCAAAAACTAGCCCGGGCTGACCCTGCTTAGTTTCCAAAATCTGACCACATCAGGCCAGCCTGGACTATCTGGGTCTGGCCAAAGACCTGCTAATGGGCGTGGGGGGATTACGCTTCTTGTTGGGCTCTGCAAAATCTTCAGGTACTGCAGCTGAAGGCATCTAGATTGAGCGTCTTTTTCCCTGTTCGCTTCCTTTACACACCACCTTATTCCCCAGTGGGAACACGGAGTAACTTATGCCCTTCTTCTCTCTTCTTTTGTCCTCACAACAACCCTGTGAGGTAGGTTAGGCCGAGAGGGTGTGACTGGCCTGAGGTCTCACAGCAAGCCTCCAAGACTGAGCGGGGATCTGAATCTGGCCCTTGCAAGAGCCTAGTCTTGGAGGGTAGCCGTGTGAGTCTCTGCAGTGGAACGGTCAGATTCGCGTCCAATTGCAACGATATATATATTTTTTTTGTTTGTATTTTTGTGTGTTTGTGCCAGGAACTCATGGTTGGCTTCTGGTGACCCCTAGTGGGGCTTGGACGTTTTAGAGAGGTGGCTTACTTTGGCCTGCCTCTGCGTCCCGGCCCTGGTATTCCTTGGAGGCCTCCCATCCAAGTACTTGCCAGGGTTGGCCCTGCTTCGCTGCCAAGATCTGATGAAACCGGGCTTGCCTGACACTCTAACCAGTACACCACGGGACCCTGGTGGGTGGTACAGCAGTAGGAATGGATGGACAGTGTGTGTATGGGGAGTGCCCCCTCTTTAAGGTTGTGGGCCATTTCTTCCATGGAAAACAGCTACAAACAATGTTCCCTCTAAGCTGTGGAGTCTTGTGAGCAAAAATTCCACTTTGTGAGCTACCGGCATTAAAGTTGTGAGCAAGCAATCTGGCTACTGCATAAATTACTTTGCTCTGGAGCCCTCCTTCCTGGGCTAAGACAAAAATGTGTGTGAGCTGGAGGCTAAAAAACTGTGAGCTAGCTCACACTAACTCAGCTTAGAGGGAACACTGGCTACAAACCCCAAGGAGCAGGGTGAATATATGAAGCTGCCCGACAGTGAATGAGACCATCAGACCATCAATGTCAGTATTGTCCACTCAGACGGGCAGCAGCTCTCCAGCGTCTCAGGCTGAGGTCTTTCACGTCACTTACTCCGTGATCTGTTTAGCTGGTGATGTCAGGGATTGGACCTGGGACCTTCTGCAGGCCAAGCAGATGCACTCCCATGGAGCCACAACAACCCTTCCCCAATCCCTGACTTCCTCCAGCCCCTCCTTTTCTAAACCACTGTCTGACTGCAGTGATGGATGGATTGCTGGAAAATCACGCCGACAGAAAACCTGCAGCCCAGGGACAGAATGTGTTGAGAAATCAGTAGAGGGCACGCCAGTTTTGTACATGCGGGCTATTTCTTTACTGACATTATTAAACTTATGTTATTGAAGTTAGGCATCACCCACCCTGCGAGCTGGCTCTGGGCGATTTACGACATTATGGAGATTAAAAATGCAAGCAATATATCATCAGAATTAAAGTAATAGGTCATCAAAATATATCACCAAAATGACTGACAATAAAACAGAAAGTGAAAAGCGATCAAGATGGCAGTAAAGTAGTTCTCCTTTGCTGGCTACACCGCGGTCCCGCAGGGCAGGGCAGGTTATGGGGGCCATAGAAGAAAAAGAGAGAGGGTGCCAGTCTCAACCTCCCATCGCTGCCCTCAGCGAAAAGCCCGGCAGAATATCTCTGGTGTAGTGGTTAAGTGTGCTGACTCTAATCTGGGAGAGCCGGTTTTGATTCCCCACTCCTCCACTTGCACCTGCTGGATGACCTTGGGCAAGCCATAGTTCTGATAAGAGCTGTCCTTGAAAAAGTGCAGTTTCTGTCAGAGCTCTCTCAGCCCCACCTACCTCACAGGGTGCCTGTTGTGGGGAGGGGAAGGGAATAGGGTTGCCAAGTGTGAATGCAGCCGCCAGCGGGGGCCGCATCCACATCACGTGGAAGTGACACGGGCACGCCAGGCACACTGGGGGTGGGGCCACGACCATCCGAGGGAAAACCATAGAGTTTTCCCTTGGATGACCGTGGCCCCACCCCCAGTGTGCCCGGTGTGCCCGCGTCACTTCCGGGTGATGCGCACGTCGGGGTGGAGTTCCACCCGGGGGCCCGATCCGCCGGTGGTGGGGAACGGGCCTTTGGGGCAGGGGTTCCCTCGCCCCCCGGGGGGACTTGGCAAGTCTAGAAGAGAAAGGAGTTTATAAGCCCCTCTGAGACTCCCTTGGGTAGTGATGGGTGGGGTATAAATCCAATCTCCTCCTCCTCATCTTCTTCCTCTTCTTCTCCTCCTCCTCCTCCTCCTCCTCCTCCTTCTCCTCTTCCTCCTCCTCCTCTTCTTCCTCTTCTTCCTCTTCTTCTCCTCCTCCTCTTCTCCTCCTCCTCTTCTTCTTCTTGTTCTTCTTGTTCTTCTTCTTCTACCCCTTCCCCTCCTTCTTCCCCTTCCCCTTCTCCTCCTCCTCCTCCTTCTTCCAGGCCCTGCGGAATTGCATCAGATCCCGCAGGGCCCTGATGTCGTTTGCCAGAGAGTTCCACCAGGTCGGGCGGCAGTGAAGGGGGCAGTTGGCAACTCAGACTTTCTCAGCCTGGCTTCTGTGTCTCTGATAGCGGGTGCCCAGCAGTTCTCCTTCTGGTCCAATGTTCCTGCTAAGCTGAGTTAGTGTGAGCCAGCTCACAGTTTTTTAGACTCTGGCTCACACATTGTTGCCTTAGCTCGGGAAGGACGGCTCCAGAGCAAACTGATTTATGCAGCAGCCAAGTCGCTGGCTCACAACTTTAATGCCAGTCGCTCACAATGTAGACTTTTTGCTCACAAGACTCCACAGCTTAGAGGGAGCATTGGTGCCCTGGTGGCAAATTTCAGCAGGTCGAGCTGCTTCCCAGCTGCCCCTGTGCTAGCTTTGCCTTCTACATCTCTTCTTGCAGGCTTGCTGTGAAAGGTACAGGCTTTATTGTGTTTTATCAGCCTGACTTAGCCTGGGCTCGTCAGAGCTTGAAAGCTAAGCAGGGTCGGCTCTCATGGAATCATAGAGTTGGAAGGGATCTCCGGGGGTCATCTAGTCCAACCCCCTGCACAATGCAGGAAATTCACAAGTACCTCCCCCCCCCCATGCCCACTCCCAGTGACCCCTGTTGTTCTGTGCAGAAGATGACAAAAAAACCCCTCCAGGATCCCCAGCCAAACTAGCCTGGAGAAAAATCGTTCCCTGACCCCAAACTGGTCAGTACTTGGATGGGACGGGAGACCACCAAGGAAAGCGGGAGTTGCTCCGCAGGGGCAGGCAATGGCAAACCACCGCTGCTCGTCTTTTGCCCGCAATGTCCCATGAGTCAGCTGAGACTTGGCAGCACTTTTAGTCTTCGAAAGAAAGCTGCCGTTCTGCAGCGCTTTTGAGAGGCGTTCCTCGTCCATCTGTGATTGACGGCAAGGCAGAAATCAGCCGCGGGTGATTCCCAAGGCATGAGAATTGGCTCAGTTTCCTGCGACATTGCTGCCTGTTGCTTTTGCGTGGGGGCTTTTCAGGGCACCAAAGTAGCTCTGGAATTCCTTGGTGGTGGTGGGGTCTCCCCTCCAAGCACTAAGCAGGGCTGACCGGCGGCGTAGCCAGAAAATTTGGGGGTGTGGGGAAATCTGGGGGGTACCCTGGCTATACCCACTGCTCCTCCTACAGCAGCAGAAGCACCAGCTCTGGTTCTGCTGTGACCTCTAGTCCTCCTCTAGTCCTCTCGATTGGAGAGACCTGATTGCGGACTGCTTTTCTGTGTAAGCCGGGGAGAAGGGACTCTCTCTCTTTTGTCTTTTGCAATATTTTTTTTTTTTTGCAATTTAATTCAATTTTAAAAGAAAAGAAGTTTGCATTTTGGAAACCCCACACATTTTAACAATATTTTTCATTTTTTTTTAAAAAAAACAGCTTTGAATTTTTGTCCAAGGGGACGGCACTCATCT